CGACATCGTGCACCTCCTGATGCGGCGCATGCGGGACCCCCCATCACGCCTGTGACACTCTGCACAAGATCGCATGACCAGTGCCTCTTCATGAGAACAAACCCAAATTCAGGGCCTTCTACAGACTGGCTGACCTGTGCTCTTTGAGAACATCAGGATCAGGAAAGACAAAGACAGGCGGAGCGACCGTTCCGGGTGGGGGGAGACCGGAGGGCGTGACAGCTGAACGCAGCTCACAACCTGGAACGTTCTTTGGCTGCTAAGGACATCGCTGCAACAACAGAGAAGTCCGACTAAGGTCTGAGACCAGATAACAGTATTGCGTCAGTGTTAATTTCCTGCTTCTGATAACGGTGCTGCAGTGAGATAAGAGGAAACCCTCGCCCTTAGGAACTACACAGCAGAGTATTTCGAGCTGAGAAGCGTCATGTCTGCAACTGACCCTCAAGCAGCTCAGGAAAAACAACGTGTGGAGGGATGGGAAAGGCGGGCAGGTGGGTGGCTGGGCATGTAGCTCAGACAGACAGTGTAAAATGTTCACGTTTGGGGAGTAAATGTATAAAAAATATACAGGAATTCTTTGGAGTATATTTTTGTACCTTTCCTATAGGTCTGAAATCATGTCAAAATACTTTAAAAAAAAAAAAAAGCAATCTCTAAAAATCTAAAGCAAAAAGAAACAAACGAACCCAACACTGTACTGATTTGATGACATAGCCACAAAGAGGGGAAAAAAATTCTGGCAAGTGACGGTCAAACAGGGTAATCTGTAGCTCCCCAGTGGGACATGCCGTTAGGACAAAACCAGAAACAGTTACAAACTGGCTGTAGCAAGCCCGAGGCTGGCAGTAGTACCGGCGTTTTATTCTGAGACTTGTGTGTATTGTCGTGGGATCGAACAAATGAGTAACGCTGGTGACACTCGCCGAGAGCCAGGATTCCGGCGCCAGAGGAAGGCGCGGTCAAAGTCGATGAGTTGGACAGAAACCCGGGAGTCCCGGATGAGAATTCCGGGCGAAGTACCCGTACGAACTCAAGAGGAGGCCCTCAGCCCTGGCCGCCGGAAAGGTCACTATGACCCACCTGCAGCAACAAGTGTTAGGATCCTTATTTAGTCTGCAAATATCACTTCTACCCAATGCAACCGGGGCTTTTTTGAGAAGTGGTTGATTCCAGCACTGGAGCAGAGGATGCTGGAGATGAGCCTGGGATGTCTGGTCACACGGAAAAGCAGGGAACCTCCCATGCCTGCAATCCCAGCACTGTGAGAGGTGGAGACAGGAGGATCCCTTGAGCCCAGGAATTTGAAGCTGCCGTGAGCTATGACGATGCCACGGCACTCCGGGCTGGGCAATAGAGTGATTGAGACCCTGACTCAAAAACAACAAGGAAAAAAAATCAACCCCCCCCCATAAACCTACAACGGTTAAACCACATCAAATGTGTTTAATTCCACCATTTCAATACCATACCAAAAAAAAAAAAAAAACCCACGACAAAAGCCCAGCACCCTCTTGAGTCACCTTTGGAGGACCGTCTAAGCAGAGAATTCCACCCCTGCGGTAACCGAACAGGTGACCAAGGGAAACGCGTTTGCAGAAACTCGTCATTTAACACATGGAGAAAGGATGGCAGGGCGATGACCGTCGAGGTCGTGACCCTAAAGGGAGAGACCGCCCCACGGAAGCACACGCCATCCCCCACAGAGGGTCCCCCCTCGAAGGCCACCACATCCCATCTCTAGGGAGGTGTGGGCAGCACAGGGGACACACCGTGGCAGGCCACGTGTCAAGTCCACGGGGAGGGTCGGCAGGGTCCAGAGCAGAGAGCCCGCCAGGCAGATGACCTGGTCAGCCGGAGACAGAGTCGGCGGCTCGAGAGAGCCTGGGTGAAGCCGGGAGACGGCCCGGCACCCACGAGGCGTGGCCTCACCTGGCTGTGGATTCAAAGGGTTAGGGGAATTTGAGCTCAAGTCGGTTATCTGACAGTATTATAATGAAAAACTGGGTTTTGGGGGGTTTTATATTTTTTAAGCTGTGATGCTGGACTGGCCTTCCGTCTTTAAAACATACCGAGCTACCTACTGAAATATCTGGAGGTGGAATGGTGGGACACTGGCTGGGGTTTGCGCCAAGATACCAGGCGTGGGCAGAGGACAGCAGCTGGCCCAGACTCGGCTCTTGTGGGAGCGACGGTGGGCTGCCACACGGGAGGCTCATGGCACTGCGTGCTCCACGCGTGTTCACATTAACGTTTGAGGTTTTCCTTAACTAAAAAATAATGCCCATAACTGCCACCCCGAGGGCTGTCAAAGTCAAATTCACGAGCTACCAGGGAGTAAAACAGGCCACTCCTTGGGCAAACACTGGGGACAGAGTTACAGGTGCCGGTCCGAGGACGCTGGCAACAGTGCTCCGTGGCCGGGGACTCCTTCCCTCAGGGACCTGCTCAGCCCCGGAGTGGGGTCCAGCTGTCTTCATTGTGCAGCTGCACCCCTCCTGTCTCGAGTCCACGTGAGTGGACAGTGGACACAACCCCGCTGACCTGCGAGCCACTCCCCTGACATCCCGCCCAGGAGCCCCTTCTCCCAGAGGCCCCCTTGTCTCCCCAGCCTGGGGGCTCCCTGTTAGACGCTCTCAGACCCTTCCCCTTCATCCAGCTCCCCTGCTCTGCGAACACGCAACATCGAGCCCCAGGAAACCGCCAATATTCAGCCACTCTGACTCACAAAAAGGCAACTGCATGAGGTTCCGCACGACGACAAAGCGGCATCTTTTGCCCGACGACTTCATTGGGGTCTGTCCAGGTGTGCTCTCCAGGTGTGCGCCCCGGGAACAACCTCCACACGGCAGGTCCCCGATCAGGACAACCCGCCCGGGAAAGCCCCTGACCGCGCCGCCCGGGGCACGGCCTGCCCTCTCCGTTTACAAAGACCCACGGTGGGGCTCCCCTGCAGGAGGTCGGCGCTGGCCAAGGTCACAGGCAGCAGATCGCCAGGACTGCCATCAGGGCCGGCCCCCTGCCAGCAGCTCCGGGCAGCCTGACCCTCTCTGCCTGAGCCGAGAGTATGACAACCTAACACTTGTGGGGAAATCAAGTCACTCCACGGTGTGGCCAAGGTGCATCACTAGAGCTGCCCCGAGAACCACTGACGTCCAGTCCCCGGGGGCCACGGCAGCTGCTGGAGTACGGACACCCACGTGTGTGCACTCGAGCATGGTTAACCACTGCTGTATACACAGTTAACTAGTGCCATAGTTAACTAGGCACACACAGAGGTAACGACCGCCATACCTGGGCGCACACAGCTAACGACAGCTGTATACACATAGTCACACATACATGGGTAAATATGACCACATACACATTAACACACACACAGTTAACTACTCCTGTAAATACACACACACAGTTAACCGTGGCCACACACAGTTCATCATTGATCTCCAACCTGTTGCCAGGTAAACCCAGAGGGCTGTGTGGGCTGACCTTTGACCCTCAAGCGCCAGGTGAGCACACAGACACACTGGAGCCAGGCCCCCACTCCCCTCAGCCTGCAGGTGTGGCAGGCAAGAGCCCCGGGAAGACAGCACCTCGCTGTTCCCTCCGGACCGTGCAGCCCCCGCACGGCCCACCCAAGTAAGAGGCAAGGACTTTATTAAAAAGCGAAAAAACAATTTTTCCCAAGACACTTGATCAGCACAGAAAGCCTGCGTCTACACTAACTAAAATGCACACTGCACCGAACGTGTACCTGCTGAGGGCTTTCCTGTGCAGGCCCTGGTCAGGAGAAGAGAAGGTCGGACTTCTGAGACTCGCAGACGCCAGCCCACGAGGCACAACCAGTGCAGGCAGTGGGAACCACAGACAGAGAACCAGGACGATGACTCTTCCGGCAGAGGCACCGGCCGTCTGGCCCAGAGCATCGAGGGAGACCCGAGCTGGGCACGACACCTGCCTGCCCAGGTCCTAAGCCCCTGCCTGTCACAGCTGGGGTCCCGCCCCCTGCACCTGGGCACTGCTCTGCATGGCTCAGAAGTGACCGGCTCTGGACACACAGGGATGAAGGAGTTTCTTCCTGTATGTTTTTCCTGATAGCATCACTTCCGCCAGGGTGACAGCGTGAACACACCGCGTCACGCCGCAGGCTCGCCTGCATGGACTTTGGGGATCATCTGCCTGGTGCTTTCTCACTAACGAGTGACCCCTAACTAGTCGGAGGACTTCACCTAATGGTAGGGTGACTTCAGTTAACCCTCTGTGCCTCAGTTTCCCCATCTGCACGAGAGGGAGGACACAGAGGCGAGGAGAGAACATCAAAGCAATACATCAGGGTGGGTATGGTGACGCACACCTAGAGTCCCAGCACTTTGGAGGCCGAGGAGGGAGGATCACTTGAGCCCACGAATTCGAGGCTGCAGAGAGCTACGATTGCACCACTGCACTCTAGCCCAGGTGACAGAGCAAGACTCTGTCTCTTAAAAAAACAAATAAGAAACAGAAAAATGCAAGACATCAAATGGGGTCGTATCTGCCAGGAAATCACTGGCCCTTCCAGAACAATCTCTGCTGCTCTCACAACCTCAAAGGCCAAAGCCCCAGTGAGCCAGGAATGCTTAGCCAAGGCCAACGGACAAGAGACCCCAGCACTCTCCCTCCCGCCTTGACACGCAAATCTAACAGAACCGTAAGATTTCAGAGTCCTAAAAAACTCTGGAAATTCTCAGCCAACCATTGGGAATGCAGCAGACCCAATTCACTACAATAATCAGAACTTTCCAAGAATGTTTCATTCCCTGCCTGAGACTCTACCCCACAGAGGAAAGACCCCCCCACCAAGCAAACACGGGCTCCGTGCAGCGGCGAGTGGGAGGCCCAGACTCAGGAGGTGAAGGTGGGTCTTCTCAGCCCCAGCTCCTGACCACGCATCACCAAGACAACGTCCTATCTCCGCCACCCCTGCCTCAGCCTGGCCCCTCCAAGCACGTCCTGGTACTCACGTAAGAAGTGTTTTTCCAATAAGGCAATTTCCAGGTGACCTTTGATCTCATTCAGTCGATCGAACTCTGTCCGGTTAAAGTCCTGGACTCCTGCGGCCATGATGAGTGTCCCTGGACCAGCCTGGAAGAGAAACACAAGAGCTCAGAGCCAGCGCCCACACCTGCCTTGCACCTGCACCTGAGCCCACACCTGCCTTGCACCTGCACCTGCGCCCACACCTGCCTTGCACCTGCACCACCCGGTTCCCTGAGCAGCGCCCAAGGGCCTCAGGACAGAGAAGCGGCAGCGTCTGAAAGGGACCAGCAGCTTCGGCCTCTGGACAAGAGGACGGCACAACGGGTGGCCAAGTGACGGGGCGCCCACCAGTGCCTGCCTGAGCCACGGGACTGGGGAGACGCCGGGTCCACCCTAAGACCCGCATGGTCCCCCCTGGCTTCCGCTGTTGGTGGAAAGGACATCCCAGACGACGTGGGGATACTCAGAGCCCCCACAAAGCCCACTTTAATAAATAATTTAAAAACTAAACTCAGACAAGGGCACTAAGCCTCTTGATGGCCGTGGTCTTGATCCCGGGCTGCAGAGGGAAGAAACTCCAGGACTGTGCCAACCAGCGTGCCCCCACACCCCAGCTACGGCTGGAGGCCACGCCGGCCACGCTGAGTGAATCTGAGAAAACACAATGGCTCCCGGGTAGTGGGGTCTGCGAGGAGCCAAGGTGAGCAACTCCAGACGGGGCCTTGTCCCGTCTGCTCCACGAAGAGGGAATTAAACCCCACCCCACCACCGAGAGCCAGGCAGGCTCCAGGGGCTGGGCACAGGGGCTGCTTCACGCCCTGCCGGTTGGAGGCAAAGGACACGCCTGCACAGCCACGCCTGCCAGGGCCACAGAGTGCACACGCACAGTTGCCTTCCTGCCAGGCCTGGCGAGGGACAGCACACAAGGGCCCAGCACACAACCTCGGCGACTCTGTGTTTCCACCCTGGTCCCCTGGCCCCCCTCCCCCGGGGCTAGGTGAGGGGACGCCAGGCTGGGCGGGGTCCACCTGAACAGCACCATCGTCTCCCCAGGCACATGTCTCTCCCGTGGGGGCTCCCCCAAGATGCTGCCCCAGCTCTAGAGACACTGCTACCCACCCCCGTCACCGCCCCTCCTCCAGGCTGGCCCTGGCCACACAGATGACCCTGCCTCTTCCGTCCTTGCCTCCTGTGCCCAGCTCCGCTCCCTGCCACTGACCACACCCTGACCCGGACATCACCCCGAAATGCTGCGCCGCTCCCCGCACGCCCGCCTGAAGGGGCCTGCAAGTCCACCCAGGACCCCGCCCCTCCCTCCCCGCCCAGTGGGGTCTGGACTCCGCCCTTGACCCCACGCCTGGGACACGCAGCCATGACAACGACGGGGGTGACACTGTGTCCGGCTCACTTCACCTGTGCCCAGTGGAACAAGCCAGACGCAGAACGGCAAATACCCCGAGATCTCGCTCATATGACGGCCCTGGAGCACTCGGACTCGCAGGGAAGGAGTCCGAGTCCCGGGTGGGTGGGCAGGAACGAGGAGTCGGCGCCCCTCGGGGCGGAACCTCAGCTGGGAAGGTGGGAGGATCTGGGGACGGAGGAGGTGACGGCCGCACAACAACACGAACGTGCTCGATGCCGCCGGGCTGCGCGCTTACGGTCGGAAAGCCGTAAATGCTACATTATGTGCGTTTTACTAAAATAAAAAGCGGAGGCTGACGCACAGGGAGAGGACCAACCCCCTCTTGGTAAGAGCGCAGCACACTGAAGCCGCTCAGAGCCGCATCGTCACCGAGACGCCGTGTGTCTGAGGGCCCGCGGGCCGCTCAGGTGGAGACACACAGCCCTCGGGGACAGCCGGTCCACGGCCACCGGACGACAGACAGAGGAGACATGCCCGGCCCAACGCTGCCACCCGAGGGAAGCGTGGCTCACCTGCGTGCCCTCGGCGGGCCGGGGCAGGTGAGGGACGCACGCCCCGCAGCAGGTCTCGGGCCTCACAGAGAGACCGGTGGCTCTGACCCCGGGAGAAGCCTCGCAGAGCGTGGGGGCGGTCCCAGCCACGGCACGGGCCCCGTCTGCACCCAGAGACACACTCTGACGCTGCCGGCAGGACGGCGTGGCCAGCCTGGGCACGGCGTGGTCTCGCTCCTCAGACCGTGAGAGCTCGGGTCTCCACGGGAGACACGTCCGCACAGAGACTTGCTCTCGGACACACCGCCGTACGTACCCACCGTGGCCACAGAGCGGAAACAGCTCACGTGTCCGTCAATGGACGGATGGACAAACAAAACGTGGCCTGTCCACAGGGTGGATGGTCCTCAGCCACAAAAAGGAGGGAAGCGCTGACGCCAGCTACACAGCATGGGTGGACCTTGTGCACCACACGCTGGGTCACAGCCCGTGCGCTACGTGGCCTTGGTTACGTGAGACGCCCACGACAGGCAACCCCACAGGCAGGAAGCAGACTGGCGGCCAGCAGGGCTGGGGCAGAGGGAAACGGGGAGTGACTGCTGAAAGGTACGGGGCCTCTTTTTAAGGCGACGAAAACGTTCTGAAACTGACTGCAGTGATGGTCACGTAACGCTGGGAACACGCTAGCAAGCCCTGAACTGCACACCTTGGACAGGTGGCCTGTGCTGTGTGGTCCGTCTCAACACAGCTGCTGGGAAACCAGCCTTGAGGCCACAGCGCTGGAGCCGGGGTCTTGGGGTGTCCCCAGGAGGCTGCGCAGGGCAGGGGAAGCACTGCACCCCAAGGAGGGCGACGGGAGGGTGGGCTTCGGGGCGGCAGGCACCCACTGCACCCCATCCCGGGGGCCTCGCGAGCACTACCGGAGCGGGTCTGCACACTACAAGAACGAGGCTTCACCAGGGAGCCTGGGCCCGGGCGGGTTGCAGGAGCAATATGGGATGGCTGTTAACGATGACAGCCACCCGCACACCAAGGACGACCCCAACACGCCCAAGCACTTTTCACGTATCGCCTCATTCCATCCTCCAAGCAGGCCTTCACGATTTCATCTCCTTTTAAAACCGAGGACGCTGAGGCTCGGGTCAAGGTTAAGCAGCTGAACGGCCTGGCCCGGCCCGGCCGCCCTGCGGTCAGTGTCTGACCCGCATTCAACACGAGCCCCCAGGCCAGGGCCATTTTCTGCCACTTGACTTTCCTTCCCGAGATTCCGTCTGGGTCCCTGCGGTGGTTTCCCGCTCCACCACCCACGGCCACAAGGAAGGGGAGGTGAGGTCCACACCTGACCTTGCCTGGCCTCTCCAGCATCTGCCCCCCACCCCCAGCTGCAGCGTAAGAAGCCAGGCTCCCTCCCGATTCAGCACATCACCCCGAGGACCCTTCCCGCCTCCTGGACGGCACCTGCTGGTCAGACCACAGCCTGCCTTCCCCACGAGCCCCTGCCCACCCCACCTGCACCACATCCCAGCAGCTGCCAACCTCAGGACCACACTCTCCAGGCCACTCACCGGTGACCCACCCTAGAGCAGCCAGCTTGGACACAGGCTGTGCCCTAGAGGGGCTCCCTGTGCCCCCAAATCCATATGCTGTGCCCCAGGCAAAGACCCTGTGATCTGGCAGCCTCACCTCCCACTGCTCTAACCAGACCCACACCTGCAACCTGGACCTGCTCCCCCAACCCCACCACCACAGCCCTCCAACTCACCCACCACGGCAGCCCCCGGGACCACGGCATCCCCCGGGCACAGGCCCCCTCCCTTGCCCCCTTGGCAAGCAGAGCCACCTGAAGGCAGGACATTGAATCAAAGTCCCAGAGCCACCCCCTGCCCAAACCTCGCCATACACCAACACCAAAGCACCATGCCTGCAACCCACTACCCCTGCACCAGCCAGAGCCTCAGAGCCCCTGGCAGGCAGCCCCGTTCCAGCTGTGCCACCAGCTGTATGCAGAGACCACGTCCGGCAAGAGGCCCTTGGCCGGCCGGCTGCTCGGACTGTCGCAGAGGCAGCGGCAGGTGCCAGGCTCCACGTTCTCCTACGACAGCACCTGTGATCTGCACAGCTGCCCAGTGGGCGGTGCTGCCGGGCTGGGTGGCCAACCTAAGCCTAGCAGCTGGTGAACGGCCAGGTGGGGCTCTGCCCGGGGGGGGGGGGGGGCTGGCCCTGGAGACCCTCTGCACCACCTCCATGCCCACCCCCACCTCGGACACCCACACACTCAGAGGGGCGGGTCTGGCCCCCACCTGGACAACCCCTGGAGCAAGGCAGCTACCACACAGCCCTGCTGGACAGACAGATGGACAGGGTGGGAGCGGGGAGGACAGCCCGGCTTGGGCCTTTGAGTGGGATCCCTGCCGCCCCTCCCCGTTGAGCTTGGAAGCACCTGATGGGGGCAATTTGCACACTCAGACCAAAGACCCAGGGTTCGAGGCCCACGGCCCCCCATGCCAGCACTGGCCAGAACTTGACAAGACATAGTTTTCCCATCAAGGCAACAAAAGATGCAGGAGGGGCAATGGGACGGTGAGGGGCACACAGCACAGCGGCTGGCGGACCAACCAGGCCTGGGCCAGAGGCCAGCGCCCAGACAGGCGGGCACACCCCTCCCCCGGCTCCACTGCACCAGCCCGGGCAGCAGAGTGGCCCCACCGCCGGGCGCAGGGGGAGCAGCCGGCTCTCGGGAGGCAACGTCAGGACGTTCTCAGCCCCGGCCAGGAGCAAGGCAGTCGCTGTCCTGTCATAAATGACACAGCAGCCACCGAAGGCCGGTGCTCACTGGACATGCCTGGGGAGAAAACCTGGCTCGGGAGCTGGGAGGGGACACCAAGGGACGCCACACCTGGCGTGCACAGTGGGGGAGGGGCCAGTGGCACACCTGGGCAGAGAAGGGGCCACGGTGAGCCCACTCCGCCCCCATGGAACACAAGCTTCCGGAAGGCAGGCCCCACTCGTGGTTCCCGCCCGGGGCCCCCTACCCAGGGCCTGGCTGAGGTGCTCGTTCGCTACCCACGTGAAGAGTCCCTAGGACGGGCAGCAGGCCCAGCCATGACTGCACAGGTGAGGAGGGCCAGCCGGGGCTTAGCCAGCTGCCGGGGGTCAGGGACACACACCCTGCCGCGGCCAGACCGACCAGCCAGCTTCCAGGACGACTGCCCCCACCCACCCCTCCACCTCCCCTGCACTCACCCTCACCGACCCTCCCCCTCCCATCCCCAGCCCCACCCCCGCACTCCGCTCCCCATCACCACCCCCTCCCATCCCGCCCCCACACCCCCGCATCATGCCCCCTCCCCCAAACAACCGACCCCACCGCCCACCCACACGCTCCATCCCCGCCCCGCCAACCCGTACCCCGCTCCCCCATCTCCCTCCGCCCCCCCCCGCAACCCTCCCATACCCTCCCCCGCTACCCCACGCTCCCCCATCCCTGTGTCCAGGCTCCCAGGGCTCGGGTCAGGGCCTCAGCGTCACTTTTGCATTAGACGTTTGCCGACCCCCCAGGAAAACCAGTGAGGGAGGTGGGGAAACGCAGAGGCGGCTTAACCAGGAGGAGCCGCTGCCCGGCGAGGCCCACAGCGGGCGGGCAACAGGCCCGTCTCTCTGCCTCTAAGCGGCACAGCGGGACACGAATCTGCCTGTCCACGCTCGGCGTGGCCGTCTGAGGACTGGGGTGACACCGCCAGCCACGCCGAGAATCCCGGAGGCGAGGCCGGCTCAGCGGGGTACTCACGGGGTCCCTCAGCTCCTCGGGGTCCCGGGGCGAGGTCCGAGGTATCTTCAGGGGTATTTCGTCTCCACATTCGGTGTCCGAGGCGTTTGGAGACTCTGCTAGATCGAGGAAGTCATCTCTCTTGTGACCTCTGAACCTGATCTTGTCCAGCCTCCTTAGCATGTTCAGCACCGAGCTCCTCTGCTTCACCCTAACATGACGGTCGGGGTCCCTGGGGGAGAAGGAAGGGCACCGTCACCCGCCGCTGCCAGTGCCGGCCCTGCACACGGTTCCAGGCCCCGTGCCCTGGGCTGCGACCGAGCCCCTGCGCCCGGGGAGGGGCCAGTCCAGCTTCCCAAAGAAAATCCCGACCCACAGATCCCGCCTCCCCCCAGCAGGCAGGGCCCCGTCACCTGCACATGCACCAAGGGTGGACACGCCGTAAGGTGCCCACGCCCCACGTCTGCCCCGCGGGCCTGCCCCACCACAGAGCTCCTCCCACCGCCTCCCACCAGGTAAGTGGCCCCCAGGCGGATGGAAGCCGAGGTCTGGGCCTGGCCCACCAAGGTGGCTCAAAGGCCCCGGGAAAAGGGAAGGAGGGCCGACCACTCCCAGAAGTTCCCCAGCGAAGTGTCAAGCACTGGGTGGATGCTCCGGCCACATGTACTGCCCGGGACAGCAGCCGAGGCCTGGAAACCACAGGACACTCAGCACTGGGCGTGCGTCAGTGGAGTCCCTTTGGGACAGGTGGGACCTGGCCCGAGTCCCAGGAACCTGCCCACCCTGCTCCATCTGCCTCCAATGCATTCCTACTGTGGCCTGACCCTGGCTGGGCCTCTGAGCCTCCACCCAGAACTCGCTTCCTCCAAGCAGCCTTCCCAGAGAGCTGGGGAGGAGCCTTGTGCCAGCCGCACCTCCCCACCCAGCCTGCCGCAACGGGGAAGAGGTCTGGTGTGCCCGCCTCGCGCTGAGCCGCGGGTCGCTGTGTGTAAATTCACACGTGTGTCTACACCTAGGATGAAGGCGCCATGGGGTGCCCACTCCCTCTTCTGCCCCAGCCGGGCCAGGAACGAGGCACTCCCAGTCCCAGGGGCAGGGTGAGTGTCCGTCCAGCCAGGTCCCCTCCGAAACTGGCAGGAGAGGCTGGCCGTGTTGGGAGGGTCCCCCAACCCCCGTCCCGGCCACACTGCTCCCCCAAACCCCAGCCCCGGACTGGCACGAGAAGCCTGGGTGCCCACAGAAGGGTGGGGCTCCGCACACACCTGGGCTCAGGGCCCGCCCTGCCACTCTGCAGCTTTCTGCAGCGGGGATGGCGCCAGCGAGGCCAAAGAAGTCTGGGATGGCCCGCGCCGACTGGGCAGCGTGCGAGGAGGGAGGGGCCCGGCCGAGGTACTTCCCGGCGAGGAAAGGACACCTGCTGGGTCACCAAGGATGGGCAGCTCCCGCAGATGTGCCCGCCTGCAGCCCTGACTCAGCCCCCTGGCTCCTTGCGGTCCTTGGTGTCACAGCTCACGTCAAGTCATGTTGAGAAGACCCGCTAGCAGCGGGGACCCCGAGAGCCGGTCAGAGTGTTTGTTCCTGAACTGGCTCTGAGCAGCAGCGCTGAGTTGCGCAGGGTTGGGGGAGGGGCCGAGGTGCTCCAGGACAGGCATCGCCCAGCTCGCTCCGAACGCCACGGGGTGGCCTGACACCAGCCCTGGCACAAACCCACAGGGACCGGGAAACGCACAAACCCACAGGGACCGGGAAACGCACAAACCCACAGGGACCGGGAAACGCACAAACCCACAGGGACCGGAAAACGCAGCAAACACACCAGGGTGGTGCAGACAACCAGTGTCCCCCGAAGTGGGCAGCACTGCGGTGACAGGGAGTGTGCGGTCCCCTGCCCACAAGGCGGGGCCATCGGGAGAACATCCCCCAGAGGACGTGAACCCAGGGGACATGAGGGCCAGTAACCCTAACAACACGCACCGCAACAAGAAAGAACTCAGCGCCTATCAGGTCCGGAGGGAAAAAGATGACGATCTATGGAGACTAGAACAATAACACACAAAGTGAGAGCGAATCCTTCAACCCGACGACCACGGCATGAAAGCACAAAACTTCATTTGTTAACAAAGGACGTAAACAAACTTAAAACCAGCTGGTGAAGAGGGGGCCATATAGGAAGCAAATGTACCATTAGAGGAGTGAATGTCGCCGACAAAAGTTCTGGATATAAATTGAAAGAATGACAAGACCGCCTCCGACTGGTGTAAAACCTTCAACTTCACTTGACAAGGAAACAGAAGCTAAGCGGGCACGCACAGAGCGCTGTGAGACCGGCGGGCACAGACGCCCTCGGGCGACAGCGATTCCACCCTGCTGGGCTGGCCACGGCCCTGGGATCGGCTCTTAGACCGGGGAGAGGTCCTGCCCAGGGCCACACGCCACCACTGCCCGCTGAGACGGCAGGGTTTGTAGAAGCGCCACCGGGTGTCACGAAGGAGACGCTCCCAATGGAAGCAAGCCACTGCAACACGGGAACCCTGTGTCACGTCCATTCGTTGAACAGGCGTGTGAGCACCAGGTGAATGGCGTGTTCACTGTTTGCTCGGGCGGCCTTCAGCAATATTCTTTATAATGCCTTGTCCTCCATTGGCTCCAACTCCTCCCCAGTGCCCTAATTTTTTTTTTTTTATGCTGAAACCCACATGGTAGTATGTACCCCCTTCACCCCTTTCTGAGTGTGCGGCTTCAGTGGCGCGTGACCAGCACATTGTTCAGGACAGGCTGTCAACTACTGGTCTCTTCGCTTGTGGAACGGTGACTCCAGCCCCCGCCTGGCACGTCCGTTCCTTGCTGCTTTTTTAATTAAAACAGAAAGAGTCAACTTGGTAGGGACGTGCAGGCACACATAAAATCCATCCTCTTCATTCTCAAGAGGCCGGAGAGACGCTCCTCCTGCGGAGCGACCAGCGGGGAAGGGAGGCCGAAGGGGAGGCTGGGCACTGGGCCGCAGACCCCGGGCGGGCGGGCGGTCCTGCTGGCTTCCACCCGGGGACGCGTTGGGCAGCCGCGCACTCTAGCGGCACGCAGAGCTTCGGCCACTTGGAGCGACGGCCCCGTTCTGGTCGGTGCGTCCCGCGGCTGGGCCACTTCCCAAATCGGCTTCAGCAAGGAATAGGCGGCTCGCGGCGAGCAGGGACACGGCCCGGTGTCCGCCCGCACCTCAGGGATCGCGCAGCGCCCTCGTGCACGCTCGCAACCCAGTCGCCGTTCTCCGGGTCTGCTGCTGGCCCTCAGGAGCCCGCCGAAGCAGGTGGGCCCAGATACCCCACTCCCGCCCACCGCCTCCGGCTCACTCTTTGGTTCCGCTCGAACAAGAAAATCTTCACACTGCGTTCAAGCGCTTGGGGGTCATCACACCGGGGACCGACCACGCACGGGCGACCCGCCACGAACCGCACGACCGTTCACCAGTACTGACATGCAACGGCACTGACCAGCACCGACGGAACGCACACCCACTTACCATGACCGAACAACGCCACCCCGGCACTGGCCGCAGATCCGCCACCCAACGCGGACCCGCGCACCGACGAGGAGCACACGGGACGATGCAGCGCGGTTTCACCCGTGTCGCCGAGTGCGCAGAGCACACCGAGGCCTTCCGAGGATGCAGTCCTACGATCGAGCAGACGCGCTTCGCAGGCTGAGCACGGCGCGGCCCCCCTGGCCCACCTCGCGTCGCAGAACGTCGACCCTCCTCGGTTCAGCTGCACTGCCAAAGTAAGGCGCGCACTACTTCCAAGTAAGGTCACACTCACGGTGCCGGTGGCAGCAAATTGGGGGGGCCGTTTCCACCTGGCATACTCCCGACCGGCACGGATGAACAGCACGGCTGAACCCGGGCACCACACACACACAGGACTGTCCGACCCGCTGGCTCTGAAGCAGGCGGTAACCACCGAGAGCAGCCTTCCCGCCAGCCCAGCGTCCCAAGTGTCGTCTCGCCCAGAGTCTCAAGCCGTACCTCCCGTCCAGCCACCGCTGCCTAACGTGTCCACCGGCCACCCCCGCATGGTCCACGGGAGGCAAGCCCACTCCTCGGCGCTGTGGATCCGCGCCCCCAGGACAGGCCCCCTTCTGGCCTGCATCCGCCAGCCTGGCCTGAGCAGCCCAGGGTCCAGCACCGCCGAGCCTGTCACCCTGCCACATGGCCTCCTCTCCGTCCGTCAATCCTGAGGGGGGTGCCACCCTCCCCGCTGGCTCTCGGCCAGGTTCTCAGCGTGCTCCCCTCCCCCAGCCACCCGGCTTCACGGAGGGTGAGCCTTCTTTTCTCGGGATGGACATGGCTCTAGAAGCTTCGTGACACCAGTCCGGCCCACGCTGGGGCCTGCCGTGCCATCGCCTGCGTACCTTCCATCCCGAAACACGCCCTTAGCCGTGCTGTACCTCCCAGACGCTGCTCCCGGCCCAGGCGCGTGGCGGCCCCTAGGGGACCGCGGACCTCGCGCCTCTGAGAGGCGGCTGGACGCCAGCAGGACGAGAGGGAGGCACCTGCCGCTGTGCCGAGCAGGCAGGGCTTCCCCGCTTCTCCCCGCAGCCGGCAGCGCCCCGGCAGCTCCGGCCCCTCTGCACTGCAGGACGCAGTCCAGCCCGCGGCCGGAGCACAAAAGCACGCTGCTCTGGAAACCCGCTGAACCCGCCTCTGGACACACAAGGCAGCAGTGTCTAGGGAACCCTGGACTTGCAAACCAAAAGGACTCACTTCCCCTTCCCTAGCCCAGACTGAAGGGGAAAAAAAAGATGGTTCCTGGTGTCAGCGCTTGCCCCAAGCCGCGTCTGCTTCACGCATCGCCGGCGACGGCTCCCGTCCGCGTTCTGGGTCCACGGCCCGCTCCGCAGGGCCGGCTCCAGCCCGCTCCACCCCTGGCTGTCCCGTGGCTCTCCGCTGGCCCTGGATACACACGCGTCTGCTTTCCCACAGGCACGCGCCGGCACTTATTCGGGGAGGCTCACAGATGTCCGGTGACGCCGCGCGCTCCAACGCCCACCAACGGGCCGGGCGCACCCACGCCGCCCGACTTTTGCCCAGCCCAGTCCTCCGGGAAGTGCCCCTAAACCTCCACCGAGGCCAGAAGGCCGGGATGGAGGACCCCAGGATGGACAGCCACGCGCGGCGCGGAGAGCAGGAGGATGCAGGAACCTGCAGGCGTCAGGCTCTGCGGGCGGGAGCAGGAGGGC